GTGGCCTTGGGGCCCAGGCTGCTCTGCTGGGGCCTGTTCCAGGGCTAGCTCTCGCTTAGAGTCTGGACCTTGGCTTCTGGAGTGCTACCAGCAGTGGCGGCTTGGCTTCCTAGGCCACATACGCACGCGGCATGGTGTGTCGGGGCACCTGTGCTCTCCTGGGGGCCTGTGGGACTCAGCCTGAGCTAGTCAGGGGGTAGAGGAGACCTATGGCTGGTTCCTGAAAGAGCCTTGAGGAGGACTGAGCTGGCCTCCCTGCACGGAACTGTAGTGGGCATCTTGCTGTGCCTTGCGGCAATAGCAGGGAACAGGTCCTCTGTGCTTCCACCCTTCCAAGCAGCAGTTTTGAATCCTTTGTCTGGACCTCCTGGACCCTACCCACTGTGGCTTTTGTCCTTGCAGCCCTGTCAGATGACCTGCTGCCTAGAAGAACCATGTTCAGGAAAGCTATGTCCATGTCGCGAGTCTTCGCCTGCTTCTTGTGGTGAGTAGCAATGGGGTCCTGCCTGCCCAGAAGGGTAGTAGATCCTGCTGGCGCTCACCTCAGAAGGCAGAAATGACACATCGTGCTAGAACAATATCGAGATCAGATGAGATGCTGAGGTGATTTCCTGGAGGTTCATTTAGCAGGCGTATATGGGCCCTGCTAGCAGAGCACTTCATAGTACTACCTTTAGTGAGCAGGAGTTAGTTGCCAGGCTCTGATGACACAGGCCAAACAGAAGTATAGTTGTGGCCCTGAGAAGGGTAGTTCTAGTCCCTTGTGGTCACACTTGAGGTGGCATCTGGGAGGAAGTGTCAGTGGGATCTGCGCATCCGAAAGTCTAGACCGATGTGGATCCTGGAACAGTCACTGTGTAATTGGGCTGAGAGTCAGACTCCCATGAGCAAGAGCCGAGGGTGTCAGAACTGACAGTGGCCACCATGGAGGGCCCAGGGGAGGTGTTCCTGCATCAGAAGGGATCCTTGGCATGCTGGGGCAGCTGGGACGTGGCTCCATGTCCTGGGTGGGTGGTGTTCAGTGCCACCCATCACTCACATCTGTCTTCTTAGGGTCTACCTTCTTGCTCCCCCTAGGTTCATCCTCCTTTATTCCCACACCATTCCCTCAGAGGCCACGTCCTGCTCTGGCCTACGCTGGCCTCAAAACTCTGAGAAAGTCTTCCTCCTCTGGAGTCCCCCCAGCCCGGAGCTGTCCCTCCTGACCTCTTCTGCAGGCTGCGGGAGCACGGGCATTATTGGTCTGAGGCTCACACTACGCTCCAGGTAGCGTCTAGCGCACAAAGGCTGAGGCAGGACTAACGGGGAGGAACTGAGTCGCATTCACCTTGCAGCCATGTCTGCGTGGGCGACCCCAGAAAGGCCCCAGATCAGCTTGGTGAGGCCTGGGAGAAGCCTGGTCTGGGACCCAAGCCCTCAGCACTTCCTAGATGTGGTGGATCCTGCTGGTCCTGGTGTCACAGGCTCACAGCCTGCACAGCTCCTTGCACGCCATAAAAGCCACAGCGGTGAGTGTGGCCTTAGCCACATTGCCAGCTCTTCCCCTGTCCACAGAGCCAGGGGCAAATGCAGTGATTTCCAGACTCAGGGAGGAACAAGACACGTGTCTCACCGCCGTAGTGAAGATCGCTCCACAGAGAGAAGCCGTGCAGGGATGCGCCACTGCGATTAAGCGGATAGTGTTCTGTTCCTCTTGTTTCTAAGGTGCCCGTGTACTTCTAGAGATGGTGCTTCTCCCTGAATATTTAATGGCCCATGAAAATTAAACCACACACTCCTAAATAACCAGTAGCCAAGGAAGAAATTAAAAAAAAATACTCGAGATACATGATAAATCTGCACAATCCAATTTGTGATACAGCAACGCAGCTCAGGGAAATGTAGCGTTTAAACGTCTGCAGCAAAGGAAGAATCAAACACCTAATTTTTATACTAGAAGGAACTAAAAAAAGAAGAGTCAACTAAATCCAAAGTTGGTAGAAGAAGGGACATCGTCAGTGTTAGAGGAGAGGTAAAATAGAGAATAGAAAAATAGATAAAATGGATAAACCAATGTTGGTTCTTTAAAAAGGTCAACAAAACTGACAAAGCTTCCCTGGACCTCCCAAGGAAAAGAGAGAAGATCAATACTGATGTGCGGCTCTAGCCCAAGCAGTTAGGCAGGAAGAAGAAGTGAAAAGGATTTATACAAAAGCCCTACACATGGATGACACAATCATCATATATGTAGGAAACACTGAAGAATTAATAAAGTCATTAATAAAGCAATTCATCAAAGCTGCAGGATATAAGAGCAACACACAAAAATAAATTATATTTCTATACACAAGCAATGAATAATCAGAAATGAAAAGTAGATCCTATTTATGTACCATTATAAAGAAAAAAAACAGGAAAAACCTAGCTAAGGAGGTGTAAAATTTATTTGCTACAAATTACAAGATATTGCAGGAAGAAAGGAAAGACCTTAGTACATGAAAAGAAGGCCCATCTTGTAGATCAGAAGGGTCAGTCCTGTGGAAACCGTAACAATTCCTCCTGTGGTCTGTACACCAGTGTCGCCCCCATGCTAGGACCTGGACACAGTGCTTAAGCCCACGTGGGCCACCCTGGGCCCAGGTAGTTAACTTGTTCTGCACATGGCCCACCTCTGTATATGTGGGAGTCTGGGCCTCTCATGACCTGTCCCCAGGATATAAACTCCATGTCCCATGTCTGTCTGATCACTAGCTACATATGGGAGCTAGGCCTTGATGTTGGCTGCTTCTCTTGGTGTTCCCCTGGTTGGGTAGCTGGGGCTCCCATACTGTGGGCCCTGTGCTGGTGTGGGTTCCTGCTGCACCCCTGTTGTCAGGGAGGAGGCTGGGGCAGGCTAATTCTTTTCCACATGACCAGCAGGCATTCTCTGAAGGCCCAGCTGGAGGTGGGGTGTTTGCACAGAACCCGTGTGCACACGGAGGCATAGTTTGGGACTAAGGGGAGAGGAAACCAGTTGGATCACTATGTCAAATCACAAAATCTCCACTGTGATTCTATTTTGTGTTGCCATGGAAACCCAAAACCTCCATCAGGGTTGGGGCATGAGTAGGTGACTAACCTTAACAATGAGGCCCACGCAGTTGCGCGGTTTGGACTTTCAAAGCCTGATTCCCTGCCCTGCCAAACACTGATGGAGTCCTACCCCTTTTGGACTCAGTCCTGACCCCAGGTCACGTTCCCAATCCTCCTGTGAAGATTGTGGGTGTGGCAATGCCCTCTCCTTCCCAAGTAGACTTGGGAAGAGAAAAAGCCCCCAGCCTAGCCTCCCACCTGGTGCTCATGAGGGAAGGTTGGACAGTGTTCACTTACTTCATATCTGAAAAGTTTTATACGGCTGTATCTTTCTTGAAAACTCCAGGAAATGGGCATAATAGCCCCCAAAGCTGAACACACTCAGACCAGTTGTGGGGCTCAAGGAAGGCAAAGCTGCTGAAAATATTGAAAACCCAAAGAATATTGCCTGGTTTTCCACAGAAGCCCCTCAAGAACATTTATTCTTTGAATCTCTTGTTGGAAACTTGCAGGATGGGCCAGGGCAGTTGGGTTCCTTCTCACACGGAAGGTGACCCTGACCTGCTGTCTTTGGGAGCTGGTTGCCCTGCCTGTAGTGACTTAGGATCTAGTGGGAAGGGTCTGGCTAAGTGGGACATCATGGCCTGTCAGGGCATTTGGGGGATTTCCCCAGGGATGAGAAGTTCTCAGAGATCAGGAGCTATTTTCTGTCACTGTGGATGCGTGTAGGCTACACATAAGTTTAGAGTCTGGGGCCTGAGATGCAGACCTAGGGATGCTCACTGTGGGGCCAGGGGGAGGGTGGCATCCAAGTGGGACCCACATTGAAAAGGATGTGGCAGAGGCTGTGGGCCAGGGCATGGGGGGCCCCTGAGGAGACCTGAAAGGAAAGACTCCACCTATCCAGCTTTTCTTGCTCATCTTAGGAAGGGGTGAAACATTCCCCAACCATCCCCAAGCCAGACCAGAGAGCAGCAGAGGGACAGGCACTTGGTGGGACGTGGTGCTGGTCCCCAGTGGCCAGGCCGCCCCTGAATTTATATCTGCAGAGGGTGTGCACCTGTGGAGGGCATGCACACTGAGTCCGTGGCCATCTATGGGGGCAGAGGCAAGGAGTCATGGGAGACAAGCCACACTAGTGACCGAGTGGCACTGTGAGGATCACAGAACCATGGGATACTCCAGCTCGTAAAGGTCTGGGAGAGGGGCAGGGATGCCGGCTCTCAGGGCCACACCATGAATGGCAGCACACTTCGCAGAGCCCAGGAACAGGGCCTGCAGTCCACTGCTGGTCAGCACCACCACCTACGTCCACCATGAGTCCCCTGGGGAAGAAGCAGGGGATACCCTGCTGCAGTTGGTCCCTTTGCCCCATTTACTCAGGTCCAAAGTCACCTTGAAATCTGTGATCAAGTGCATAATGTTTTACTGCCAGCAAACAGCAGGTACCTTAGAGTCACTGATATCAGGAAATGAACCAAAGTCACAGCCACCCCGTCTTCAGCACAACTGCTGAGGGCACAGAGGGGCTCGTGCCAGTAACTGGGCAGCAGGACAGAACATGCCCAGCATACAACACACATGTCCTAGGGCCGCTGACTGCCAGTCACGGCCGTGCTACTCCCTTTGCCAGCACACTGCCCCTTAGCCCCATTCCAGGCCTCCGGCCTTGCCCCAGCTTCACTCCCTGCCCCTGGTCACACCCAGGATCTGCCTTGCCTTCCTTGTGCTCCCCCCATCCTCACCCCTGAGTGCTGTCCCCCAGTCTTCATCTCTAGACACCACCACCCCACGCTGCCCCAGGCCACCAATGAGGATCAGATTATCCTCAGGGAGAGCTCACTGACTGGTGAAGGAATCTGCCAAGAGCTGTAAAGGGTGCGTCCAGGGCAAGAGTTCGTGGGGCCAAGCATATGGAGGGGGCAGTGCCCAGCCCTGAGCTTGGGTACCTGAGCAGGGGCTTCTTGGGGAATGGTGGCTGGTCTGCGCCGGGGCACGGCAGGGCCTTCTTGGTCACTTGCTTGTAGATGTTCCTGGCAGTCACTCCAATCCACAGCATGGTGGAGAGCGTGGAGTAGTGCAGCACGATGCCCACCTGGGGAGGGAGAGTCATCAGCCAGGCCCGCCTGGGCCGCATCTGCCCCGGTCCACTGAGCTGCGGCGCTCAGCCCTGCCTTCCGGAAGCCTCTCTCCAGCCGTTTCTTTAGTGACCAGCAGTGAGATTAGGAGGAAGCTGGAGGGACGCTCCACAGGAGTGGCCAAGCCTCTTGAGCTGCTGAGCTATGCCGTGCACCTGCAGAAGGTGGGGCGGGGCCCATGGGGGTGTCTGAGGGGTGCCATGCCATTCCCCCTTTCGGGGCCTGTGTATGCACACCTCCCAGGAGACCCCTGCCTGTGTGGTCGGTCCACCAGGTGGAAAGGAGGCGCTGCTGCACAGTGGGATGCTCCCAGGTGCCACTGCGTGTAGGAAACAGTATCACAGGGATGAGGCTCGCACGACCCACCCAAGCAAGTGAGAGCGACTCATTGCTATGGAGACAGCCAAGCGGAATCCCCTCCACAGCACTTAGGCGCTGGCTAATTATGCATTCCACGCTCCTTCATCTCCATCTGATTCCATAAAATGAGGTTACCTTTGAGGTAATAACCTGACATTTCAAAATGACAAGTAAAATACTGTTATAATTGGAAAGGACATAAATGTTTAAGGAATACAGAGATTCTCTGAATAAAGTTAACATTGCACCATTACAATGATTTATCAAATCCAGAGTTCAATTTTTACCTATGAGCAAACTCTGCAGTGATTGTTGAGGATTTTGGAGGATGGAAAGATCAAAAAACTGTTTATAGTTTTGAATGAACTCTCTGTGAGGAGCTCACATGTCCTGTGAGCTGTCTTTTCCTTGGCTCTCCTGACCCTCAGCATCTGGGGCTGTGTGGGCAAGCTGAGCACACGGGCGTTACTCTGACTTGGCTGGGAGTGGGAGGCACCAGCACCTGCCAACGAGAGCCCTCTGCATTGGAGGGCAGCGGGGCAAAGGTGACTGAGCTGGCCTGGCCCTGATTTGAAGGGATGTCCCTCTTTCTTTTCAGGAATCTGTAGGATGGCTACAAACAGAGACCCATTCTACGAAGAAGCCTGCTCCTCAACTCTGGTGTACTGACCTGGAGCCCAGAAGAGGGAGGGCAGTGTGGCCACGACAGACAGCAGTTGGGCTGGGAGGTCTGGCTTTTTTCTCCTCTGATCTAAGGCTCACTTAAATGTGGACTTGGGGATCATAAGCAGGCATAAATGGCAGGACTCTGTCTCCCAAACATTCACTTTAGGCTGGAGATAAGAGGCGGTCACAGGGACTCTCTGCTGGTTTCCAGAGAGCGCCCTACTGTGGCGAAGGAAGGAGGCAGCAAGCAGGCGGCCCTCCCTCACTTCCAGACCCAGGGCCAGCGCTGACGCACATTCATTATGTGGGACCATCAGCAGCTGTCTGTTTTTGTTTATGATGTCACTGAGTACTTTAATGAGGCTCACGGTCATCTTTCTGTTGCCATAACAACTGTCTGTTCTCTCCAGCCATCCAGAGGTCTGGACCACTTTTCCTGTTTGTTCTGCTGTGAGGCTGCACCACAGGAGGAAGGGCCTGGGCATGGCGGTCACACGTTGTTGGGGCAGAAGGGGACAGCTCTCACTTCCACCAGTCTGGCTTTTCATCTGTGCCTCCTTAGGTGTCTCCCTCTCAGCATTTGGGGGATGTAGATGCCATGCTGGGTGAGCTGGGCTGGCTTTCCTCCACGCCTCCCAGGCTACAGATCAAAAACAGCCTGTTCTTTGGCTTACTAGCCCGTAGTGGTAAGACAGTCACATTTCCATCCTCAGGCACAGGAGAGTTAAACACCTGGGTGTGGTGGGGTGATTACCACAAGGGTTTGTTGGACACATCTGGAGCTGCAATCCTCAGCCCCTGTTGCCCCTGCTGCCCTGGGCCTGGCTCTGCTTCCACTGTTCACAGCTTGGCATCTTCCAGTGCACCGATGGCTTGTCACTGTGTCTGTCTGCACCCCGCCCCAGCGGTGGCTCCCCACCGCGAGTCTGGTGGGTAGGTTTCTGACTGTTCTGGGCACCCACAGCGCGCCCCAGCACTGGGTTAGTATGCTTGCCAAGTGAGGGGGTGAGTGAGTGGATGAGGCCTGGTATGTTCTGGAAAAGTACTCAGAGGACCAAGATGGCATCTGAAGGGCCACCATCTTTCCTATGCCACCAAGCGGGGGCCGTTCCCTCTGATAGGGATCCCAAGGATTGTCACAGGGAACCGAACATTTCTCACATTAGCATGAGCTTCTTTACCAATTGGAACTCTGCAGGTCTTTCCAGACCCGCCCCTGCTCCACTGCCATCCCTTACCAAACATCTCTGTGGGGCCTCACGTGGCCTTTGAACTCCCTGGGGCTCTTGGTTTCCAGGAGCTTTGTCTGGGCTGGCCAAGGCATGAGGACAGTTACAGCTTTGCTGCAGGGCCCTGGGAGCGGTTTGTCTGGAAGCCTGAGGCAATTCCAGTGGGCCGCGTGGCTGGCAGGTCCTCGCTGTAGAGTTCTTTGTGGTGAAGTGCAGTCATAAAGATAACGACCCGCTTGATTGCCTTTCAGAGGGCGTCCAGGCAGGGTTTATGGCAGGGCATAAACGGGGCTTCCCTGTGCTCCCTGTGGTTGTTTCCAGCTCGTGAGAGGTATGAAGGCAAAAGCCCCCACCTAAGCGTCCCTTAATGCTGGTATCGTTTTGCAGAGCCTTGCCTCTGTAGGGTTCGGACACGACACTCAGGCACACACTCCAGATGTCTTCTGGTGCCCAGGGCTCTGGGGCAGTAGTGATGTCTCCCAGACACAGCAACTGGCTCACACTCCCAGCCTCAACTTGGGTCAGCTGAGAAAGAAAGGGACAAGGCCGGGGAAAGAAAACAGCTCCAGGGCTGTGCTGGGCCAGTGTCCGGCAGGCAGGCGTGGGAACCACACAGAAGGAGGCTTGTGCTCACAGCCTGGATTTCCCTTGAAGCTCCGCTATGGGGAGACCTTCTCTTCCACAGACACTCCAGGGTGAGTCTCTCCTGTGGCCATGTGTGCAGGCGAAGAGGTCGGGACACGGCTAATGGTCACTGCCATCAGTACGGGGTCACACGGGCCCAGGGCAGTTGGGTGAAGGCTGCGCCTGTGGCTGCCAATAGATTTTGGCTAGTTCGTGAAGAAGCAGGATGATGCCTGAGGGTGCCATCAGCTGTAGTTGTCAGACAATGGCTCATGAAGTGACAGAACTGCAGGAGTCTTTGGTGAGTTTCTCTGGGTCCCTGAGCCTGGCCCCATCTGTGGGCACAGAGCCAGCCTGGGGGCTGGATGTGCATACCTGTGCTACCCTGGAACTGTAGTGAGGCTCCTTTCCTGGGCCCAGCACCATAGCCCAAAGAAGGTAAGACTAGCTTGGCTTTCATGGGAAGGTTTCTATCACGGGTTCTGCCGCTACAGTCCAGGGGTATTTTAGATTTCCTTTATATAAACCCAAACTAGATCATCCGTGTAAAGAGGCCCCATTTGGCAGCTCGCAGACCCTTCCTAGATTCCCCTTTCCCTGAGCTAGGATGGAACCGCCAATGGTGCCGCTCACTGAAGACAACCTGGTGACCTCCAAATGCCACAGCGCCTCCTTCAGATGGCAGGGTGAGGTTGGCACCAAGGAGGCCTCACTTGACCCTTCCTGATCCCACCCCGCTGGGTTCTTCAGGAAAGGCGGCTGTGCCCACTTCTCAGGGGGGTCATCATGCACTGAACGGTGAATGCCTAGCTCAGTGGTGGCCAGCCTACGGCACACATGCTACAGTGGGCTTTCTGAGTCACTGAAAGCTGTGAAAGATTCACTGCCACTGGAGTTGCATATCACATAGGTCTCAGAAGAAGCTGGTCCAATTGAAAGTACATTATTTTATAGAATCAAATGCTGAGTGGGTGACAGGGAGATAGCTCAGTAGAATAAGTGCCTGCCTTGCAAGCACAAGGTCCTGAGTTCAATCCCTGGTACCGGAAAAAAAACAAAAAAACAAATGCTGAGTAAAACAGTTGGCTTCAGATGGAGTGAAACTGTAACAGGGACCTGCTAGACACATGCCTAACTATTCCCTTCACCAGCAACAGCTGGACAAATACTAAAGTATTAGTTTATGAACAAGACAACACACATTCCTTTGGTAAGAATGTTGATGAAAACTTTCAGTTTTGTGGCATAGTGAGCCACAGACAGCACTCACCGCCTGGCACAGGATTGGGTATTTGGTGCGGTTGATGCCACCTGCGAACACAGTGAAGGTCAGAGCTGCGTGGAAGCAGAAGTTCAGGAGTGTGTGCCGGCCTTTCCTGCTGATCCGGATGGCACTGTGGGAAATGGGGATTTCACATTAGGAACCTGAATACCCAGGAACAGTGTGGAGACAGGCGCTCTTGTCCAAATGCAACACTCTGTTCTAGGGATAGTAAGCTCCGAGAGGGCCTGGGAGCAGCCTGTGCAGAGGACCACATCATGGGATGGAGAGGTGACCGTGCTGTGCATAGCTTTGTGGATTGCCAGTGGATATCTGTGTGGCGGAGCGCCTTATAGTGTTGGGCCTGGGAAGGCTTTCACAGGTTCTTGACCGAACTGATCATCTGACAAGCAAAGGTGCTAAGCCCCAAGACTGCACCTTACCCACAGTCTCAGTAATAGAAGTCGTGCCCCTGACTCCCAGAAGGCTCTCTGCCCTCTGTGCATGGGTGTCTGCTCCTCAGGAAGAGGGAGACAGCTGTGTGACTGTGAGCACGACTCCAGGTGACATGGTGCCTGGGGACACTGGGGTAGGACATTGTCTATAGCTGAGAGCATCTCCATGGCCAGAAACATGTCTAAGGCTCTGCCCAGCTAGCCATGGCCAGGACTGATGTTGCTCAGCTTACAACTATGACTTCATCAGGATCTCGAATACGTCCAAATTTCCTCCCATGATCACAGCTGCTACGGCCTAGAGGTACATATCACTCCCACGTTCATATGTTGAAACTTCATGCCCGTGTGACAGGATTGGGAGTGTAGGTGTTTGAGCACAGCCCTCATAGCTGGCATTAGTGCCTTTATAAAAGAGCCTTCAGCTGCTTTGCCCATCACACCATGTGAGGTCACGGGGTAAAGGTGCCACCTATGGCACCAGGAACCAAGAAAAGGTCCTTACCAGACACTAAGGCTGATGGTGTCTTGCACTGGATTCCAGCCTCCAGAACCATGAAAGCTCAATTTCTATCCTAAACAGCTGTTTATAAACCTCCCAGGTTGTGGCAGTTTGTTATAGCCGCACACATAGGCTGAGACAACAGCTTTGCACCTGCCTGAATCCCCTTTATGACTGTGGCCTTGGGCCTGGCTACCCGATCCTAAGACAGTAGCCTCAGCGAGGTCACCCTGCTCCTGCTCTTAGACGAGGTGAGCCTGAGCTTGCTTCCATGACCTGAGCCCCGGATGCGCTCAGACTTCTTCCCATCACTGCACCTGTGGCTGAGGCACAGGCGCTGCCCATGACTGTGATCATGGACTGGACTCTGGCTGTCTCCTCACACTTCCAGGACGTCTCCCAAGAGACACAGCAAGGCCACCCCCACTCCTGCTCTCAACCAGGGTGGCCAAAAGCAAGCTCAGAAGTATAAATGTGACTTTTCTCCCCTTCCTAGATAAGCATGCATGTTGCAAAGGCATACCAAAGGTTCTGCAGGCCTCTGGGCAGGGCCTTGGTGTACCTGAACACCAAGGGTTCAGCCTCTAAATGCACCCATTTAGAAAGGACTCATTCCATTTAGAAATGACTCATTCTATTTAACTTGACAAGAACAGGGAGGATGCTCTTGAGAAGACCTGATGCAGTCCAGAATGGAAGAGATGTGCTTTCCCTAGTGCTGTCCCCTTTAGGCTGCCCTGATGGGCACCCTGAGTGTGGACAGACTTGAGCTGGTGAGTGGTATGTGGAGTGTCTTCTAGGTATATCTTACTATGTGGAGGGGGTGAGGTCTGGCATCATGGATTTGCATTTGAGGGTGAAGGCATGGTGTCCCTGGTTGTATGCCTTACCTCTGGTGCATGATGTAGGTGATAACGGAGGCAAGGAGGCACAGTAGCATGACTGCAGTGCATGCATACACCACAGGGTGCAGGAACTCCCCCGGGTACTGGGGCAGGGAGAGCACAGTCTTCAAATCCTAGGAAGGAAGCAGAGGAGGAGTCTATACACACAGAATTTGAATTCTCACCTTTGGGTTCAGCCTCCACCCTCCAAGTGGCTTCAGGCACTTTCTGATTTGAGCTTTGCTCTGTCAGTGGCTCAGGAGGGGTCAGACTGGTGGCTGAGAAAGACCTCAGTGGATGCTCACAGAGGGGTCTGCAGGGAGCCAGTCCCCTGCACAGGGCTGATCTTCTCTTCCCCTGGCTCTACATGAATGTCTATATGGGGTTTTGAAAGCAGCTCCCAGAGGGAGGCAGCCTTTCTGCAGCACCAGACGCCTGGCTCCAGCTCCCTGTCAAGTGCTGCTGGCAGAGGGCAGGGCTCAGCCCTGGCTTCCGATATGTACTTGTCTGTTGGCAGTGCGCCTGCTCGGGTGTCTGGATGGGGCCTCCGGAAAGGCACCGAAACGCCAAATTTCCCCAACCCACTTCTGAACCTCACGCCTCTTGACATTCTGCTTTTAAATGTCTCCCAGGGGAATTTTATACCATATTTCAGCAGATCTGAATGTTGTTGACTCAAGCTGATGAAGAAAGAGAAGTTGTTAGAATAAAAAAATAGATACGGGACTAAGGACTTCACTGTTATTTCTGATATCCCCAGCCCCATTGTGCATCATAGCCAAAGTAAGAGGTTCAAGGTCCCAGGTCAAAGGAGAGCACAGCTTCTCTGTGGTAGAGGAAAGCCAAATGTTTCAGTGAGTGATTCTAGAACTGCTGGAGATTTGCCCTCTTTGGGCCCTGTGGGTGGTGCGCTAATCCCTGTGCTTAGGGCAGCGAGTCAAGCCTCCGGCTCCACGCTGCTGGGGAGATGTCCTGCTCTGGTGGGAAGTTAGAGCTTGCTGCTCCCAAGTGCTTTAGCCTCTGGCCCATGGATGGTGCAGGGACTGGGGAGACAGCTCAGTGGAATAAGTGCTTGCCTGGCAAGTGCAAGGTCCTGAGTTTGATCTCTGGTACCATGGATGGTGCAGGATGGGAGTGGCAGGAATGGACCTGAGCAGAACACACTGGATGCCATGGGGCTTCAGGACTCACCCCGCCACGTAGTCCCTCTTATCACCAGATCGTAAGCTCATGATGGAGCTGTCAGCTCATGACTGGAGCTGCCAGCATTAGGGAGTCAGGGATGCCACGGTCTGAGGCAACCTCTTTGGCAGACCCAGAGACTAGCCTGCTCCTGACTGACCAGTAGACCAGCCATCCTTGGCCTGAAGCCCTGGGAAGAGCCTGTGGTCTGAATCCCTGAAGCCTGGTGCTGCATAAGAGGGAAGCCTCATCCTGACCTTCATCTCTTCGCCCCAGGGCGTTTCCCCATGAGTGTGGGCATCCAACACCTGCCGGGAGGAGCCACGACAGGCACCTGGGGGGCCGGGAGAGGGAGTGGGCCTGTTCCATCAAGACTGCATCGGCTCTTTCTTCCTGGACACCAAGCACCCAGACTCAGCTTGGCTTTGCAGCACACTCTGGACAGTGCCCCTGTCCCCAAGGGGCTTTGAGAAGGTAAGGCTGCCTGGAGACCCCTGTACTTGCCTCCTCCACCTTTGTAAAGAGAAGAGTCCCAGAACCCAAAGCATCAGATTCCTCCTGCAGCAGGGCCGGCTCAGGGCCCCACCTAGATGCCCCTATGCAACTGTTTCCTCCCGGACACGTGACCAGGGGGGTGCTCCAAATCTTTCCTTAGTGTTCACCTTCTGAGATATTTGACATCTGGTGAAGGGGGACTTTTCTGTAGCCCTTCAGAGTGCAAAGCCATAATTTTTTTCATGGCTCAGCCATTTGCTGGCAAAAGGAAATAGCTCCAGAAGTCATAAGGAAAGCATATTTCTTGGAGCAATCCTGACATTGAGTTATCTGACAAGTGCTGTGCTTCTGAGAGCTGGGAAAGGCTTAAGATTCTAACTGGGCATAAGTGGTGTCCTCAGATTCTTGAACACATGGGCCTTTTCATTGGAGTCAGTGGCTGTCTGCCCATGAGGTCGACCCACCTTGGCCAACGTTAGAACTCTTCCCAGATACATGTGAGAGAGCTTTCCAGTGTGGTTTGCTCCTTGAATCCAGTTCTCTCCCAGTGCTACCAGGACATTTCCTTGATGGTGAGCTGGAACTAGGACCTTGCGCCTGTCATCAAGGCCCAGGGCTCACGAGTCCTCCACAGGCCTCCCTGGGACCACTGTCACAGTGGTGAGAGTACCTGGTGGGTTGGCCTTCTGGTTGGTTTCAGATTCCTGTCCTGCTGGGGAGGGAACTGGGGGACAGGATGATGCTGGGGAGTGGATGGCTCAGCTTGTACTTGAAACATCCCTGATGTTCTTTGTCTGAGAACTGTGTTCCTTCACCTCTGTCCCTAGGGCCTGCATAGGAGAGTTTGCATTTGGACATTTCTTATCCATGGGTTTTAAGTCACTTAGCAAAGCCCCTTCATGGAAACCAAATAAAAAAAATCAGAACAGTGCTGCCTGCAACAGGCAGACTTGTGCAACAGCAGAACTCTCAGAGAGCCAGGGTAGGAGGCAGAGGTTCTGGAACTGCCACCTAGCCAGGTCATGCTGGAGGCTGGACTTTTAGGCTGTGTCACCTTAGGGGAGGGGACCTGACTCTTGTCTGAAGGCCCAGTTTTGAGGCAAACAATCCCATAGGTGTGAGAAGCCAGCGAGGGGGCACACACTGTCATCCATGTGAAGCCACATTTCTGTGACTATGGTCAAGATGACTTGGGGGTCAGCAATGAACTTTGTAAGAAACAGGGATTTGATTTGGTTTCTTATTTTTTCTTTCTCCAAATTACAGTTATCAGCAGTGACTTTCTACATTTTTAGAGGTGACATTTAAAATTCAAAGTAGGTAATGCAAAATAGAGATATGTTTTATATTTTAAAGTTCACACATGGCCAAGCTCCTCTTGGAAGAGTCTACCGCGCAAATGTTCCTCAGGCAAAATTATGATGATGACCTGGTGTGCGGTTAGACAGGCTCTGCCTGATGGGTGGATGCTTCCCTTTGAGGCTGCAACACCACAGCACTCGCTGGAGCAGCAACAGCAAGCAAGCCTGGCTCTCAGGTCAAGACTGAGGAAACAGCCCAGAGCGCCCTCGGGGTAGGCCGAGGCCAGAGGCTGGTGCGCTGCTCCTTTCTGTGCGGGTCGGCAAGCCTGATTTGAAGGTGCCACTTTGGAAATGACTCTTCTCTCTTGGGCAACACGGGGGTCCTCCTTTCCGTGGGCTGGCCTACAGCTAATAGACCCGCACGCATCCTGGCCCTGGTATGCAGAAATTCGCATTCTCTCCTTTGCTTGAATCATGGGTTTCCTTTACATTTTTCTCTTATTTTGGTTGGATATGCCCTTTGTGGCATTTTCTTTCTTTCTTTCTTTCTTTCTTTCTTTCTTTCTTTCTTTCTTTCTTTCTTTCTTTCTTTCTCTCTCTCTCTCTCTCTCTTTCTTTCTTTGGTTCT